CAAAACCCCAAAACCCCAAAACCCCAAAACCCCAAAACCCCAAAACCCCTATATGCAAAAATCAGTTAACTTTAGAGTTATTTCTAAAATTTGAATTTAAAACCTAACAAATATATTAATATTAGAAGAATATTGAATAAATAAATGTCTCTTCTTACTCAAGATCAGAAAATTCAGTAAAACTTAAATAAGAAGCTAAAGTCGAACCAGTCATTGCCAGACTTTAGCTTTGACCACTCATCACCAGACAAGAAAAGGAAAATTGAAAATTTGACAAGAAAGCTTGAGAGTGATATGAATTTGTAACTCAAATTGAAAATTCCTATCCAAAACAATGGGGAGCTGCCAAATGAATACTATAAGAATACTTACTAAGGCTGTGGTGGAATTATAAGTGGTACTGGGATAGTTGAGCAGATAAATTCTTTCAGAATGGGATCTGAGTCAACTAATATCACATCCAGAACTGTTGGAGGAGCTTAGACAAGCAACATCCATCAAACTCCCAATGTGCAAAAGAACCCGAGATTTTCTTTAAATCTGGCTTTCTCGAACAATAGCAAGGGCAATAACTACTTCAGCACATTTGATCAAGGCTAAGACTCATTTAGGACATCTCGACAATAAGCTTTACTGGGTCAACTCAGTAAGAGATCTCAGCTTGGCTAGCTGAATAATAGAGGTTATTCACAAGGTAAATACTAAGGTGGAGGGTCAAATCTTCATTAAAATAATTATTCATACAATCCGAACACATCTCAATAAAATGTTGTAGGCTGTGGCTCATCACAATATTAAAACATCAGATTATCCGAATTTCTTTTGAAATCAACTGAAAAATGCAAATCTACACTAAGAGTTCCCAATAAGATTGGATCAACAGTTCCAAATATGATGTCTCCATACTTGAGTAATTTTATGAATGGCTAGTCACCAGATCAAAATGAAATAAGAAAAGTTCATCTATTTACTAACAAAACTACAAAAGGGGAATGCTCAGTAGAATCAAAAGAAAGAAATCACTCCAAAGACTCTGGAAACCTGGACATTAATGACTTAATAAGGATTTAAGATAACTACTCTAACTACAACAGTAACCTAAATAACCCAGATTTCTTAAGGGGAGTAAGTCCTTATCAAAATTCTCATTACAATGGCTCACCCTTAAGATTCAATCAAACATAGGCTACTACCTATTTTAACATTTAAGAAAGATTCTCAGTATCTAGCAAGGACGATGAATATCATCTTAGCACTTAAAATAAAGAAGATAATACAAGCAATGCGCGATCAAACTCTTAAAACTACCTTCAAAAGACATTACTTAGAAGTTAGCAATCCTGCGAAGGTATAAACTTATTTGCAATCAATAAGTATGATGACAAGTAAGCCAAGATACCAAAAGTTGTGAAGGGAAATCATGCTTAAACTTCATTTGATGGTTCTTAATCTGAGAGATAGCTTTACTAACAAAACCTAGATTAGCCTTAGATCTTGAGAAAGGTTGATCTTGAAAGAGCAAATACAATAGTAGAAGTTCCTGAGAGCTTGCAGAAAATGTATTAGATTGATAAAATGAAAAGGAAAGTTTCTCCATCTCTTCTCTTAGATAATTATCTTCAAAAGAATTCAGAATTAAAAAAATCTGAAAATCAGCACACCAAAGATAATTAAAGTAAGATAAACAGCATCCAGCTCCAAAGACAAAAGGTTAAGGAAAGACTTAACTCTATAACTCATAACTTCCAAGGATTGGGAAATATTTCTTTGAACAATTGTCTTGATAGATCTCTCACTGGGGTCAATGCATTCTCATCATAAACTTCAGCAACTAGCATGACGTAAAGAAGAATAGCTCTAAGAGCCTCATAAAAAGTTAAGAATTAAAAGCAATAGCAAAACTCAGCAAGCTTGATGAGTATTCCTAACCCTTATAACAATATGAGTGAAAGTGCGAATGAAATGAGAAGATAATTGAGATGAATCCAACTTCGATGCTGTCGATAATCGAATTATTTCGCTTAATATTAGAAATTATACATACAGATACATATTAACTAGCTTTTTAATTAAAGATATATAGATATTTGCAATTTGTTCTTCAGATATTCTTTTTTACTTTGGTGACACTGGGGGTTTTGGGGTTTTGGGGTTTTGGGG